TTTGATAAGATATTGGTACTGAGAGTGCAAGGAAAGCCACACTCATATGTTCCAGGTGGGCATACATTTTTGTACAATTTCACAGAGACCTAGCTAGCGGATCAATAAAATTAAATTACATATGCAATCCCACGTCTAGGAATTTATTCTAGATGTATCTGATAATAGGACATTGCTTAAGTACATTATGATATAGTGTATTCATAACATACAGTAGAATATTATACAATAGCTAAAAAGACTGACAACTCTTTATGTACTGATATAAAACAATACTCAATGTATACTATTAAGAAAACAAGCAAACTAACAAAATGCAGTAAATTGGGTTTATTAAGGTTCAACTTATGGAAAGGGAAAGGAAAATTGGACAAAATTGTCATTTTTATAGGTAACAGTGTTTGTGCCTGGGTAGGAAAACTGGGTGACTGGAATACAAAAATAAGAGACAGACTTTTCAGGATACACTTTTTTGCCCCCTTTGCATTTCAGCCTGGGTGCTATTGCCAAGGAAATAGACATTGATTTATTCACATCATGACTGAGATAAACAATCTACACATCCAGCAATAGTGGATTGGTTAAATAACTGATGATATCTCTATGATGGACTATCATGCAAAATCAAGTTGTAGAAGAATGTTCATCAGCATGGAGACATTACATTGTAAATGTAAAATGTAGAGTAGAGAATAGAATGTTGACATATTTAAAAAAATAAAAAAGCAAAAATTACATATAATCATATAAGTGAATGTACCTAGGTAAAGACCAGCAGTACCTAGTCTAAATTTTTTTCACAATTATTTACTGAAAATAATTTTTATTTTTTGTTAGTCCTCACCTGAGAATATTTTTCTATTGATTTTTAGGGAGAGTGGAAGAGAGAAGGAAAGACAGAGAGAAACATCGATGTGAGAGAAACACATTGATGTGTTGCCTCCTGCATGAGCCCCGACCAGGGCCCAGGCTAGGGAGGAGCCTGAAGCCAAGGTACGTGCCTTTGACTGGAATCGAACCCAGGACACTTTGTCTCCACAGACCAAAGCTCTATCCACTGAGCCAAACTGGCTAGGGCTTACTGAATTCTTATTGTAAGGAGAAACTCTTCAGGGTGCTAGGTATAGAAGTGTGAACAAAACTGTTGTGGTTCTGGTATCCCAGGAACATAGTCTAGTCAGTGGAAGACATGCAAAATGAAGAAAGAAAGAAGATAAAATTATATGAAAATGATTAAAAATTATTCTAGACCAGTGTTCAGGGAAGGCTCCATTGAAAAAGTCACATTTAGGTTGAGATCTGAGTGAGGAGAAGGGGCCAGTCCTGTACAAGGAGATGGTGGACAATTCGGGCAGATGGAGAAGAGTGTGGGAGAAGAATGTGTAAAGGTGGGGGAGGTGTGATCATGGAAATGAGAGAAGTCTAGTGAAGCAAGTGAGAGGCAGAGCAGCACAGGGCAAGGTCGGAAAGGAGGGCACCATAGATCACGCAGTCTTAGAGCTAGGAAGGAATGAAGATTTTATTATAAATGCAAGATTTTTGAGAGTTCAGTTGTCATTATAAATGCCTCTTCTTTAAACTTACATTTTTTTTCCTCTGACTGCATTACGATTGCCTCACCATCTTTGGTGTCCTCAAATTCACTATGATGTATCTAAGAGTGGATATTGTTTAGATTTGTAGAAACTCTTGAATCTGTCTTTTAAACCGTTTTGGAAAAATTTCAGCCATCATCTCTTCAAACATTGTCTTTGCCTCATTTTATCTCCCTTCTCCATCTAGAATTTAAATTAAACACCAGATCTCATTCTACCTTCTTATTCTCTTCACATTTTTATTTCTTGTTCCTTTATGTGCTTCTTTCTGGGTAAGATCTGTCTGAGTTATCTTTTAGTTCACGGATTCTTGTTTTTTTATTTTTTATTAGTGTGTGTGCTCTTAAACCCAGCAATTAGGTCTCTGTTATTGTATTTTTCATTTCTAAAAGTTCTATTTCAAATATCCAAGGTTGCTTTTTATGGTTTTTGGTTCCATGAAGATATTATTAAGTTTATTATTAATTTTTTTTCTCTAAATCAATAAGCATAGTAAATTATAAAATGTTTCTGTTATTCAATCTAAAGTGTTTTTGGATTATGTTTGCTCTCTGTTGTTTGTGCTGCTTCTCCCACATAATACCTCTCTTTTGTATCTTGGTATTTTCTATGGTGTGCTACTCATTGCCATTGGCAACTTATTTATGTTTATTTATTTATTTATTATTATTATTTTATTATTATTTTTAACCTATGCTTACCCCCAGAGCTTGGCCACAGCAAACCAAATTTACAGACAGCCTTTTATGTGCCTTTCAGTGCATGTGAATTTAGCCCACAAGTTTACTACAAAACCATTTTGTGCTTATGAGTTCTAGGGGAGAACTCAGTCTGCTCCAGTCTGCTCAAGGAAGAGGAAATCTCTGTTGAAATTCCTGAGATGAGGTGGCCACCCTGAAGGTATGGCCCTTTTCCTTCCAGCTCTATGGCAGGAGGCATCCTGGTACATGCCCCACTTTAAAAAAGGCTTGGGGAGTTGAGGGTCTCCATCGACCCATGAGGCTGTAATTAGCTTATCCAGTTCAGAAAATGCCATCAGGGTAAAAAATGTCCTACTTGACTCTCTGGGTTTCTAATTTGACATTGCTTTTGATGTAGTAATTTGAGGCCATATGGTCAGTGTATTGATGCTTTTAAGAATCCTTTAAACATTATTTATCATTTTTAGTTTTCAGCACAAGGATTGTCCAAACAACCTAGCCTGCCTTATTCTCAGAAACAAAAGTTTATTCTAAGTGTGGTTGAAACCACGGAAGCTATTTTTAGAAGACTTAATTTATATTTAAAAAAAACAATGCTGCAATATGGAGAATGGAGTGAAGGAGGCAAGAGTGAATTAAGTAGGAGTAATGAAAGACTATGCAGTAACCTAGGGGAGAAGGTGGCTTGAGCTTAGATGTGGCTGTAAAGAGGGAGAGAAATAGAGGGGCTGAACTGTGTTGTGTAGGTTAGAATAGAAGAGACTGGGGGTAATTAGAGGAGGTGGAATCATCCAAGATGACTCAGGTTCTGCCTCAAATAACGATGTGGACGGTGGTACCATTTAAGAGGACAGAAGAGAACATTCAGGTTTGGTCCAGTGTGTGTGTGTGTGTGTGTGTGTGTGTGTGTGTGTGTGTGTGTGTAATAAAGTGTTCAATTATAAACTTGTAATGCTTGAGTCTTATATGACATTAATAGTGATTATATCTGGGTGGCAGGGATTAGAAGGAATTTTCCCCTCACATTTTCACTAGTAAGCAAGTATTTTTTTAAAAAAACTATATTTTTATTGATTTCAGAGAGGAAGGAAGAGGGAGAGAGAGATAGAAACATCAATGATGAGAGCGAATAATTGATTGGCCACCTCCTGCACACCCCCACTGGGGATCGAGCCCACAACCCAGGCATATGCCCTTGACTGGAATTGAACCAGGGACTCTTTAGTCCACAGGCCAACACTTTATCCACTGAGCCAAACCAGCTAGGGCAGTAAGCAAGTATTATATGTATTTGTTTTTAAGGGGAAAAAATGTCATTTAAAAGTAAAAGCAGCGCCTGTATATCACAAAACCTATAATTCCTTTGAAACCTTGAAACTGGCTCTCTCTGTGTTAACACGTCCCTGTTTTCAACCTCCATATTGTGTGTGTGTGTGTGTGTGTGTGTGTGTGTGTGTGCCTACTAAACTGAAGCTAGTTTAGTGTCAGAGACCATGTCTGACTCATTTCTCCTCACCGCTCCCTAGCAGCTATCACATTAAAGTGCATATAGTAGATGCTTAATAAATGCCGAGTAAATGGAAACATTTGCTCATCGAAGACACTCAGTAATTATTTTTTCATTGAATCCTGGATTAGGCCGGCCAGAAGGATGCTGTGATCACAAACCATCACGTTTTGTCACTCAGACCACCTACTCCAGGCAGAGCTTACCTTTTCTGTGTTCCTCTCAGGAAGGCAAGGTGGAGGCCGGGCTTCTCACGCGCATTTCCATCCTTTTCATTTGCTCCCTAGATGAGCTCCCTTCCCCAAAGGCAGCAGCGAGCTGAGCACCGTGGGGACACCTACCAGGCCCAGGCAGGCTTGAGTGGCACCAACCTTAATGCATTTGTTTGCCTACAGGCTTTGTGACAGCACAGATGGTGCGAGAAACCGCCTACTGCTAAGGACCCCCTGACAGAGCACGGCCTGCCTCCCACCATAATGAGCTTCCTGGCTCCCACAAGAGCAGGCTGTAATGATGACATTACACCGTGAAACCTGGAAGAGAATAAGGGGTTGGTTTCCCATTGGTTGTTCTATTGTCTCAACTACTGCGTAAGCCTAACCCTTCCTGGGAACCCGCCGTGTCAAGCCTGATTCAGAGCGATCTCTCAGGACCTGGTAGGCTCCCCTTCGTCAGTTACACACACGTGTCATTTTCAGGGTGGACCCTGGGAAAGCCAGACAGCATGGCCAGGTATTTCAAACCCAAATTCTCCCCGCCTTTGTAGGGGCCAGTGAGCAAGATATGCACGGCAAGCCAGAAAGGATGCCCTGGTTCCCATACGTCTCTCCACCCACACAGCGCCATCCTCCCCAGCTATCACCCGCCCGTGGAGACGGGAGACTGTTCCGTGTCCCTGCCCAGGGAGGCTCATGCCCATCCTGCTCCAATGCTCCAGCTTTGGCAGCTTCCAGGGGGCAGTGCCAAGGCTGCGGGCTCCCTGGGGAGAACGCCCAGCTGGCCACCCCGAGGAGCACCGCAGTGACGCAGGCCAGGCCCAGCCAGGCGGGAACAGCTGCTGCAACGGGGCCCTGGGGAGCGGGATGGCTCCTGCTCCGTGTCCGCCAGGCTCCGAGCGGCATCTGCAAACGCGAAGAGCAATGCACAATGCAGAGCTGCATGTTCCTCGTTCCGCCTCCTTCTTCATCCTTCTCCCAGGACCCAGGAAATACAACATAGATGGCGCCCCCATGCTCTCTGCCTGCAGCCATGCCCTCAAACACTCCTGTCGGAGGCGTTATTCCCACACCCAGGCCAAGTGGAGGGCCGGCATGGCAGCGGAGCAGCGTGGCTGGGTCTCAGGTAATTGGGTTTCCAGGCCTCGTTTTTTTACATTCTGGGGCCTCAGAACAGAAGGCGCTGCAGTGAAGGGTGAAGTGGGGTAAAGAGAGGAGATTCCGGTGCTGCCGGGACCCCAGGTTGGCCATATCTCCACCCAGGCACCAGGCACCGAAACCCCAGCCGCCACTCATTTGCTGCTCACCCAAGAGCTTCTATCTAAAGCGCCCAGAGCTCAATTGAAAGCAGCAGGTGAAAAGTCAAATACTTCATTAAAAGCAGCAAGAGACTCCATTGTAAACCCACGGCTCTTGCCCTTCAAAGATCAGACACTGGGATCCCAATCAGTTCTGGCTTCAATCAGAGACCAGCTGCTTAAGAGAGAGCTTGTGGTGTGTATCTTTTCAACATGCTGCAGAAAGCCCCTTGGTTTCTCCTGCTTTTACCTTATTTTGATGTCCTACAGTGATCCTCAAGGACTGCTGCTCCTAACACACACACACACACACACACACACACACACACACACACACACACTCATTATATTGAGGCTGGAAGAAGCCAAGAAACACTTCAAAAGGTAAGCGTAGGTGTGAGCCTCAGGTTTATTGAATTCCCGGAAACGCTGTCTCCTCCTGAAAAAGGTTAGCACTATTTTGAAACAACTTTAATCTGGCCAAAGAAAAGGGAAAGAGGGAGGACAAGACTCAGGGAGAGGGAGCGTTGGCAGAGGGAAGAGATGGAGAGAAAAGAGAGGGAGCTGTTAATTTCAATTGATTTTCTGATAAGGCTTCATATCCTGAAGTGTGCTTCAAATCTGAGAAGTGACATCTGCTGCGATCGGCGTCAGTGTCTGAATTCTCCTGAATGTAATTAGATCTGAGACAAGATGGAAGACTCAGTGCGTGGCCCTTAGGGAGGAAATGGTCTTTGAAAAGAATTATGTTAATCAGACTAGCCTTCTCCTTGCATCTGTTCTGCTGTTATTCTGGGTAAAATTAATAGGTCTAAGGAAGGATGTGATCATAATGACAATCTGGTCCTCACAGCAGGAGGCTTTATAAAGGAGTTGAACTGTGCCTTGTTGAGAACACTTAAAGTAATTAGTTACAGGGCTACTCACTCTCTTTCCTTTTTAATAATAATAATGGTTATTAATGTTTACAAATTAAAGAGTCTTTCTCCAGATGAAAGGAGTGCTGAAGCGAGACTCGGGGAGTCTGCACCTACAGGCCTCATGCCTTGGGTGATGGCACTGGAGCAGGCCTCCTTCTCCTGCCGGAGTCTCCTCTCTCTCCCTTCTCCCCTCCACGTCCCCTCCCTCCTGGCTCCCAGGGCACCGCTAGGAACAAAGTGCCCAGGACTAGCGGAGGTGGGAGGAGCCGGCAGAACTGGGGCAGAGGCTGGGACCCCTGACCTGTGTCCAGTGCAGGCACCAAGCAGGTGCTCAGTAGATCTGTGCTGATAGAACGGAAGAGCGGAAGGAAAGGGGAGAGGAAGGAATCCCGGAAGGGAGGGAGGGACAGAGGGTGGAAGAAAAAGGGGGGGGGAAGGAAAGGAGAAATAGATAAGAAGAGACAAATGAAGGAAGAAAAGAACTAAGGAAAGGAGGAAGGATGATGATGTAAAACCAGAAGTTACTATAAGATACAACTTCAAAGATGGAGGGTTGGTGTTGGACTGAGTTCAGGCCTCTCCCCCGTTTGTCTACAGACCAGGGGCAGGCAGATCACAGCCAGGGGCTCGCTCCTGCCACCACCTATTTCTGTAAATCGAGTTTTCTGGGCTTGTGCATGTGCCTATTGTCTATAGCTGCGTTCACACTATACCTGCAGATTTGAGCAGTTGTAACAGAGGTTGTCTGGCCCTCGACGCCTAAACACCCACTGTGGGGCGCTTACAGAAAAAGGTTTGCCAGCCTCTGCTGTTGTGTCTTGAGATTAGGCGTCCTGCTTGATTTGATTTTAAAACATGCTGAGTGGGACTGACTTTTCCAGAGCAGAAGTTCCCACCTGCATGATATTCAGCGACCCTTAAGCCAAGACAAGTAGCTCTTAGGGGGCAGGTGATGCGGCAGCGAGGAGCGGGGAGGAAAGGGGGCGAGCGTCTGAACTTGTCTTCTCAGGCTGAGAACAGTTCTGAGAGGATCATATGCAATGTGCCTGCCTGATGCCCACGGCAAAAGCGGCTGCAGCGGGGCAAGGAGGGGAGCTGGAAACGCCCCTCACCCACCGTCATCGCCTCGTCTGATGTACACGTACAGCAACAAGGCAGGACAGTGCAAGGGTGAGAAGACAAAAGTTCAAGATCTTGCACTTACTGACAATGTCATCTTAGTCAAATCAGTAACTCACCTGAGCTCCTGTTTTCTCGCTTGTGAAATGGAGATAAAACACCATCACTTTAGAGTCCTGATGTATTAGATGAGCCAAGCATGTCAAAGTACTTTGAGACTCACACAATTCTTATGCAAGCGGTTGTTTCCTATAGTAGTAATAGCGATTCTGGAATGATTGATGGGTCAGCCAGGTGCAGATGGTGGTCTCCTGAGCTCTGGCCCTGACAGAGGATCACGTGTCTTAGAGGCACTTTTTGGTAAAGTCTGTCAAGGCAATGACGCTTCGAAACTGTGTAATACTCACCCCAAACCCACTGGCCTGAAACAACAAGCTTTAATTTCTTGCTTACGCATTTGCCGGTCAACTGGAGTGGATCTAGGACAGGGTCGGCCAGGCTCGGCTCCCATTGGCAGGTCAGACTCAGGAGGGTGTGTCTCTGGACCAGCAGCTCCATTGGTTGTTCTTTTCACAGTGATCGTCAGAAGCTCACAAGCCTACGCCTCTGCTCGCATCCCCTCTGTCACTACCCCATGGGCCACAGCCAGGAACAGGACAGCATACCTCTCAGCAGGCGGCTCAGGCAAGCCCAACAGCCAGGCCAACGTCAACGGAGGGGAGAGCATGCTCTCCATGGAGGTCTTTTGTGGGCAGTAAATATTTTTTGACAAATAATATACTACAGAAGCCAAAACATCAGCTGAGCAGTGTCTAGTGTAAGCTGCTGGATGCAGTCGTTTAAGTATGTTGCTATTTTGACGGGGTTAGTTGGACCGTCGCTGGAGGTGGGCTGGAGGTCTCCTTGCTAGTCTGGTGACTAGCTTACCCTTGACCTCACATTTTCAATTTTTTCCATTTTTCATGTCCAGTTGTGATGTCCAGATGTTAAGTAAGAAAAACTTTCTCCAATAAGACATTGATGAAGTTTTATAGAAAAAATTGCATTATTTAAGAACAAATGTAGGGATAGTAAATTCACAGGCGGACTGAGTATAATGGTAACAGGGAAGCACAGGGAGCCAGGACTCCAGTCAGACTCCAGCGAGAGGGCGGAGGCCGCCTTTGACAAGAACGGCAGCCGTGGGCGGGGCTCCAGCTAATGAATCACACCTTCACTGGAAAAGCTGGCTCTCCTCTGTGTCATCCTCTGTCCCCTGGAGCCAAGCCAATGCTGTGGCATTGGGAAAGGGAAGGGAAAAGCCAGCTCCCCTGTCTGTCTTCTCACTCTATTCTCCTCCTCCTGCTCCAAAGAGGTAAGGAGGAGGTTACCATAGGATCAGCAGCTTCATAAATATGCAGAAGAAAGACAAATCAACCTGAAATCCAAAAAATAATTAAAATATAAATAGACTTGTTTGTTTCAAGGATTTGCAATGAATGCTTGACTCAGTCTGAAGATTAATCAGTGATGGGTAATTATATTTTTTTTTTCTCTCTCTCTCTCATACACACACACACACACACACACACACACACACACACACACACACACACATTAACCCTGGTCCCCTCTAAGCAACATGAATGCAAAAACGGTGTGAGTTTTCTGGTTCAAGCAGAGGGGATGTCACCTAAGGCTCCTTGCTGAGTTCAAGAGGTCACTTCATACCTGCTGCTGAGCCACCAGCACGGAACTGGGCATGGGTGGGGCTTGTGCTGGCATCTCTGAGCACCTTTTCCTCTTCTTCCACCGTCCTATCCTCTTTTCTTTTCTTTTCCCCTCTCCTCCTCCCTCCCTCCTGCGCCCTCCCTCCCTCCCATCCTCCCTTCTCTCCCTGCCGCCCTCTCTCCCTGCCTCATTTCTCCAGCAGTTTTCTCCCCTTGAAATTTGACATTTTTCCTGCCGAAGGAGATAAGCAATGTACCAACACAGGGACATTCATAGAGGTTTTCTCACTGTGTTAAGCTCTGAAATCGCCAGTAAAGGGAAGAAGCCCAGCCCTGTCCTGTAGGAACTCACAATCCAGAGGTGTTATTCTAAACTGGGGGTGACTGGGCCCCTTCCGGAGACATTCCACAGTACCCAGAGACGTTTACTTAGATCGCCAGGCCTCAGGTGGGCAGACTAAGGATACTGATAAACACCTACAGCACAAAGACAAGCCTCCCAACACAGAGCTTCTGGCCCTAAAAGGCAGCGGTGCTGCGGCTGAGGAGCCCTGGCCTAGGAGAAACAGGGCAAACACATCAGGACGTGCCTCCCCTCCAGGCCTTGTGGGGCCCCGGCCCATGTGTGCGGAGGGACTTGGGCTCCGGTCCACTGCGGGTTTTGCTTCTCTCTCTGGCCTCTGACTCTTTCCGGCTCTGCACGCTCCCAGCTTTGCTGCCATCTTTGAGAACTTGGGATTCCTGACCACAGTTGCAGTTTTAGAAATAAAGTTCCTCTCTCCTAAAATACCATTTCTTGAGTCCTCCTGGTAGCTCAATATTTGGTCATCTGGCCACCTGTCCATCTGCCCATCCCTCACTCCCTTTCTCCCTCCCTCCCTCCCTCCATCCATTCATTCATCCAGAAGCAGCATATACTTGGCACTACTGCGGCTACTCAAACTCTGCAAGGCACACTCACTCTCAGATGGAACTTCCTGGGAGGGGAAAGCCACACATGGCATGTGACTTGGGGGAGGAAGTGAGCTACGCATTCCATGAGAGTGGTTCTCAAACCGGCGGTGTCTGCAGTCCGCATTGGCACAGGAGAATGGCAATGGTACTTCACTGGAGTCCCAGGGAGGAGCGGCTGGGTCACGGCATGACTGGCGCTTAGAACAGTGTGGGCACCTAGGAAGAACTCAGTCAGTCCTAACCGTCACATCAGCTGCCATCGCCACTGAGAGAGGCCTCACTATTTGGGGATCAGGAAAAATTCTGAGGAAATCGCTGGAAGGAAAGCAGCGCAGTCCTGGAACAGGACAGAGACCCCAAAGGCACCCTCTTTACCGCAGGCTGTTCAGCCGGGGTCCTCCCTCCGGCAGCCCTGAGATGCAGGCCAGTCTGCTGTGGGCTGTTTGGTGCAGGGCAGCAGGTTAAGTGGCAATAGTGACCTTTATCCACTTCCTGCAATAGCACCCTCTCCCCACTGTGACAGCCAGCCAGTGCCCAGTGTCCCTAGGAAGCAATATCACCCTGGTTAACAACCACTGTTTGAGACGATAATGGTAAGAAAGAACGACAGTAATCATGATCACATGTGAGGGATCACCTCCTCATCAGCTGCAAGTTCCCTTTCGACTGGGCACGGGCACGGGGCACCTTCCATGCGCTGCACGCAAGCGTGGGTGCTTTGCAAATGCTTTCATCCGGTGGGACTGGAGACACCGTCCCCGTCCGGCTGCCTCCCCCCAGGCAGCGTGCCTCCAGCTCAACACAGTTGCCATGAGGAGGATAACAAACGTTCAAAAGAGCAAGTTCCTTCCCAAGCGGAGATAACCGAGGATCTTAGATTAATGCATATATTCCACCCACTTGTGATGCTAATATAAACACGGCTTCAGAAGGAGAGCATGTAAATATGTATTAGTCAGTAACCACTTACATATCTCCGCCTGGCTTCCGCACACCGGCCTTGGCTTCTCCTGCTGGGGTGACTTCCAGCAGGTTACTCGTCCTCTCTGAGCCTCGGCCGCCTCTTCTTTGAAGTGGGGCTAATCATCAGACCCTTGTGAAGATTAAGGAACGGAGTGTGTGCAAAGAGCGGAGTACAGTGTGAGGCACAAAGCAAGGGCTCAGCAAATGCTAGCTATCGTTGTGCCGAAAAGAGAAAAAATGGTCACTCAAAACTTTATAAAGAAGACTAACATGTAGGCACACATTGATGACCCTCTCTATTTTCAACTAGTTTCAAGCACTATTTAACAAAAACGTAGGTCCCCAACTACACTGGCTTGAATAGTGTCCCACTACCCCCTTAAAAAAATTCATGTTCACTTGGAATCTCAGAAAATGACCTTATTTGGAAATGGAAGTTTTGCAGATGTAATTAGTTAGGATGAGATCATACTGCATTAGGGTGGGTATATGCCCAATGACTGGCATCCCGATAAGAAGGTCACGTGGAGAGACGCGTGCTGCCATGTGAGGATGGAGGCAGACATTGGAGTGATGCAGATATGGCATGAGGGCTGCCAGCAACCGCCAGCAGCTAGAAGTACAGGAAGAGTGCTTCCTCAGAGCCCCAGGGGAAGCAGGGCCCTGCTCACACCTCGAGATCTGTGCGAGATGCCTTTCTGTCATTTCCAGCCACACAGCTTGTGGTTCTTTATTACAGCAGCCCCAGGACATAAATGCACCAACCGACTGACTCTTGGGCTCTGCTTGAGTGCATGGTGCTGTTTATTAACGTGCAAAAGTAGGCTCTTCTGTAGGTGTTTTTAACTATCTGCTAGTTTCCACTAAAGCAGGGGTGGGGAACCTTCTTTCTGCCAAGGGCCATTTGGATAATTATAACAGCACCAGAGGCCCGGTGCACAAATTTGTGTACCAGTGGGGGCCCCTCGGCCTGACCTGCAGGATTGGGCTGAAACTGGCCAGGCCAAGGGACCTCACCAGTGCACGATTGGGGCCAGGGAGGGATGCAGGTTGGCCAGCTGGAGAGGGATCATGGGAGGGCTCCAGGGTGTGTCTGGCCCATTGTGCTCAGTCCAGACCTGCTGGATGCCAGCAGCAAGCTAACCTACTGGTCGGAGTGTCTGCCCCCTGGCGGTCAGTGCACGTCATAGTGAGTGGTTGAGCGGCCTTAGCATATCATTAGCATATTATGCTTTGCTTGGTTGAATGGATGACCAGAGGACTGGACACTTAGCATATTAGGCTTTTATTATATAGGATTAGCGGGCCATACAAAATGATCAACTTAGAAATTAGGCTGCTGTATTTGGTCAAATATTTAATTAACTCACTGCTAATGCCTTGGCAGGGCCAGACCAAATGATTTCTCGGACCTTATACGCTCCCCACTCCTGAAAGCCAACATCACTCGTCAAGTTGTAGTTTTGTTAATGAGTTTAGTTCTGTTATTGAGTTTATCCCAGGCATGACCTGGTATCTCTCTCTGGGTAGAGCAGCTTTGTTGACTCACCGGTTTTTATCCCCATCTCCCCATTCTACCATATTTCCTATTTCAAATTGCTTCAGAGGATCACATTCTTCTCACCTTCCAGTCGAAATCAAAGTCTGACTTAGTTACACTTGGCCACCCTCCCCGAATACGTCTCATTCAATTGCCTTCTGCTTGTCTTCATCCTGATCACTGGGCCCTCTCCACTGAATTGAGCACTTCACTCACTCCAAAGCCTGACCAGCTTACAAAAGCTCATGCCTCTGGAAAAATTGCTGTTGGTCTCAATCTTTACATATGTTTTTGTTTTCCCACTGAACCAAATATAAAATCAAATAGAGTATTTATAGAATCCTGGGTTGGGGAGGGGCCATAAAGGTCATCTCTTCTAGAATTCCTCACCCTTTGCTTCCCCCTTTTCAATGCATGAATGTTCTCTACAATACTCTCATCAAGTAGACCTTTAGCCATTGCCTCCAAACCTCCCGTGATGGGAAAGTCACTGCTTCTTACAACTGTCCGTGTTATCTTTACACGCTCAATTAGGAAGGTTAACAGAGAGGTAAAGTCTGTCTGTCATTCCATCCACTGGCCCTGGTCTTTC